TGTACTTAGCCCGATAATGGAATGGCTAGCTGTTTTCACGTGGTCTATAGTTTATTTTTGCAAACAAAATATGTGTATTGAAGAAAAAAACATAATCCATATGCATGCGTATCCGAGCCGTGCATTGGCCGTGCATTGTAAAGCAAGTACTTAACCATGAAAATTATGCCCGCAAAGCTAAAGCACTAAAAAAATGATAGAGAAGCGCAAAATGTCAGTTTCTTCTTTCATGTTTTTCCCTTGCATCATGTTAATAAAATTGTCATGTTCCTTTCTTTATATTGTATCACGTAGACTATGAAGCACATATACTTGAATGCTGAAGACACACGTAGCTTGTGCCTGCATAGATACTCCACACTCATATTCTCCAATGCCGGGTGGATCTACAGGCAGCATTTCTATTCATGCATCTTCAAACTTCCTAGAAGTGTACATGTGTATGTGATTGTGATTGGCATCTAAGCCCGCTAACTTTAATTAGTTACCCACTACAACATTTTGTGACATAAGAAGTAACCTAGTGGCATAAACTTTTATATGGTCTATCTTCAAACTCAAGGAGTTTCATCAGATAGGATATCATTACAAAAGCTGATTAGATTATTTGCAATAAGTAATTAATTGCCAAAATAGCAAGCTGACTTCAGACTATCTTTACCATTCATTCTCGCAATTAGATCTTAATCGTTTTACATTTTTCTGAAAAATTTGTTATAGTTAACTCATGTTCTAATCAAGTTTCTATAAAGAACCCCGCATGTCTGGGTTCTCAGGGAACATATAGATCTTCCCTAGCTTCCAAATATCAGTTGAATGAAGCGCAGAGTTTCAACATGTGAGAAGTAATTTCTTGAGGACCTATGAAGTGCAGCTCTAGCAAACATATCCAATCCCTCAACAGAAAGTTTTTGCCATTGTTGATGCCCGTTATGTCTTATTTTTATGAGTTTTGGAAGTTAGATTTCAAAGAACCACTCAATAAGCATAGTTCCAGCTTCTTGAATTAACAACGATCTCACTCTCTGAAGTTGAGTGAGAGATAAATGAAAAAATAACAAAGCATGAAAAATTTCAATGCTCACAGCCAAGAAGTGAGATCCAAACTAACCAGTATTGACATCGGATTGCCAACTGCCCAAAGATTCACCTTGCAATCTTCACCACCAGTAATAAAGACTCTGCATGACTTCTTGCCAATGCTTAAACAGGTCACATCAGATCCATGTGCAACAAATTCCTCTGAATTCTAGGTTAAGAAAATCAATCCTCCAGATGCATAGCACGAGTTAGCATGTATGAAATGTGCATCTAATAAGGAGCTGTCACATTTTTGTACGGTAAATATGTCTTCAGCTTTGCAGGTCAAGCATGAAACTTAGATGGGCACAGGACTTGGATTGGATACATGACAAGGTAAACAAATATCAGCAATTTAGGTTTCAACTTATGTCTGAATCATGTTAATCTTGATACCGCAGTCTAAGAAGTGCTGCAATCATCACCCATTTTCCCCATAGCAACTCTTCCTACGAGGCTACGACTAACAACAATTTGCCAATCATCTCTCATTTGGAGCTATCATTCCAAGCTCTGACTATACAGCATGCGTCCCATGCCAGGTCATGCACACCCACGCCAAAGTCAGAAATGCATCTCTGCATATGCCAAGATTCAATTTTTATTGTCTAGCATTAATTACACAGCTCTTATCTTTGTATAAACATAGACGTGTCGTAGAAGGGAATTTAACAATGGATAGAGAAGAACATAGGCGCAGTTCTCTTTGATGAGTTTGTAAATGGTTTCGTACGTATCTAAACCCAAGGTGATGTTTCTTCGACTCCAATTGTTTGAATGCAAGTCATAATCGACAGCGGGTTCAATCGTCGGCTTAAGGCACTGATAAAGCACCACCCACTGAAGATGGCGGGACGTACGGATAAACTCTTTTCGGTTGGATTATGCCCCCTGTGTTTCCCCCATTTTGGCTGCGATGGAAGTAAATTAACTT